TCACCAAATCTTTGAAGCCCATTTTCAAAAGTGTAGTAAGTGAGAGGTTCTGCCTTTGCTTTAATATCAGTAAATTCCAGTAACAAGAAACAATGCATTCCCTGTATACCATTAGTCAAGTACAGATTAAACCCTGATTCCAGTAACCATAAAGACATAACAGGCTGAAAGCCATGTCCCCTCTAACAGCTTTTCATCCCACTGTAGTGCAAGAAGGTGCAGCTTACCTGAGAGTGGCAACTCTGCTCCGTATTCAGGAACAGTGAAGCACCATTGTCACCCCACAGGAAGCTGCATTGGGTGCTTTCACTGGCAGACCCAACAGTTATTTGTGGCACATTGTAGAGAAACTAAGAGATACTTTAATTGCAAATATACTTATAATTAAGTACTGCAGCACATGCTTTTGGTTTTTTAAATGAAAGGCCATAGTTTTACTTTCAGTACTATTAAGTGTTATTCCAATGGCTATCTGATGTTTGAATGGAAATATAATTTTTACATTAGATTACAGAATGGTGTGTGCAGAAATCATATACCCCCAACTATCCTGAATTCTATGAGACTGTCCCGGAATTAAAACACAACTTTGGATTTGGGCTGTGTCCTGAAGCCAAACAAAGGGAGCTCTTTGCCACTGTGACATAAGTGTTCTCCTGTGTACAGACTCAGCGTAATTGTGGTAGAGAAGAGCAGCAGCCTGAAACACAGACTTACTACATGGTTAGCGCCCACTAAGCAAATCCCAGCTCCAACTGACCACCATTGTAACCCTCTCCCCCACTAACCACCAATGTACCCCATCAGCCTCCACTTTTCCCCTCTCACTGAGCATGGACATGGGCATTTTTTGTTTTGATGACAGGGCTTCCAACCCCGCCCCCCACTAAAGTCTAACAGCTGGCCTCCACCCCACACGCTGACTCAATTTTTCCCCCAAATAATGTAAGGGACCCTATGATACATTCTCCTGACAACTACACTCTGTAACTTGCGCAGTATATCAAGTAGACCCCTGACCCCTGTATATACACTACGCTGCAGATTACATAGTCCTGATCAAAGTGTATATTTTCATAACAGTGCATTGTTGCTGTGCAGTTTACAACCATTTTAGTTAAAGGAGAACTATGGGGTTAGGGCTTTTCACCATAGTTCTCCTAAGGGTAACGGGAGGACACAAACTAGCGTCCTCCCATCACGCTAAGCTCAGTATACCGCAGCTGAAGCGGATCTCAACAATTATGTCTGGATCCGCCCAGCTGCATGAGTGACAGCTGGCTCTGCCTATCTAGAGGCAGAGCCAGCTGTAGCCGCCCCCCTCCCCCGTCCGTTCCGCCAGTCAGCGCTGGAGGAGCGGGGAGGGGGGAATCCAGTCCCTCCCCTGTCACGGCTCTCTGCCGTGACAGGATCCAGAAGTGAGCGAACGCCGGTATGTGTTCGCTCACTTCCCGATCTACTGAACCGACCTGTGACAGTTTAATTGTCACAGGTCAGCTAGAACTATGAGGATGAGTGAAAAGCACTCACCTCATAGTTCTTCTTTTAGGTTTTTTTTTTAGGTAGGCTCAGACAGAGTAGAGTGTTAGTTCTTTGCCTTTTATTATGGCTTTTTTTCAATGATTTTTAAGGTTTGTGTGTGTGAGTTGGTCATCCCAGCACAGTAATCAAGGAGTATTTTGTGGGTACATAGACTGTGGAATCTGTACAGTATATACTAATGGTACTCGTAGACTTTATTTAATCGTGCCCCTTTAAGCCACACCCAATATTCAATACAATTTAGCCACACCCACCTTTGCATTTCTTTTTCCACGAAAAGCGTTCCTCTTTCACAAGGTCGAAAGTTGGGATGTATAAAAATAGTTAATGTATGTGAAAGCAGTGTAAATACCGTTCATATATACAGTATGTATGCAGCAGTTTATTTGCAAGTATTATTTTGAACTGTTTTACTGAAACCAATTTAAAATGTGTTTACTGGTTCTTTCTGTATAAACTCTTCTGTATAACTGAAGTGTACTCTAACAAGGTGGCAAAGCCACTATTATTACAAGTGAACATTACTGTTCCTTCTCAATAATTCAAGAGTACACCTTAATCTCCTACATTTCTTTGTGTTGCTGGCCTGTATAGCTTTCAGGAGCTTGTTATCTAATGCCAACCTGCCATCTGAAGATTTATTTTGACAAGGTGGCTTTGCACTCAAAGTGTTGTAGTTTAGTCACAAGCCAGCCTGTCACCTCCTGGACACACAACAGAGATCTTACTACTAGATGCAAGGGGCACTAATTAGAGAAGAACTCTGGTTTAAAAGTTTATCAACCCTTGCAGTGGGGCTACCCCTGCACTGCAAGGGGTAAGTGCTCATTTTTGTTTAGGTGCTTTCCTTTTGCCTTTTGTTGCCAATCTCCACCTATCTATGTCCAACATTTTGAATGCTATGGGAGTGGTCACAGAAGAAAGACCGCCCTAGACACTGCCCACAGAACCACATTTTGTGATAAAAACAAAATGGTGGCTGAAATGAGATGTGTAGAGAGAGAGAGAGTGGGTTGGGATGTAGGTTATTGGTATCCCTGAGATCAGCTTTAAGATGTACTTGACTGAACTCCCAGCTGTCCACTCGAAACTAAGCTATCCATTCTGGTTAGACTTTCCTTTTAAGGAAGAGTTTTGGAGACTTGTGAGTAATTCAGAAGAGAAATTTCAGTAAATTGTTTACAAGGTGTACATTTATTATTGTATAGATCATGCTTTGATAAGCCATTGTATAAATGAAAGTGATTTCCTAAATGGTCATATAGACCTTTCCCAACATTTATTGCCATATGTTTGAGGAAAGTACTGGTTCATGGGAATTTCAGAACAATTCATAATAATGACTTCCCAGCTTAGTAACATTGTGGCTCCTATCCATGCTGGGCAACTGTACCTTCCTTCTATTTCAGGAGCTCATTATGTTCCTACTACCGTACATTTCGGAAATATACATTTTTGTTCCTCATTTAAGTGCAGTAAACCTATTTGGATGGTATGGCTTGCTTGTGGTTGTATTATTATTTTAAAAGGTAATATTAAAGTCAATGTCTATGACTCGCATTTGATACGCAACCAGTATGAGGCCATAATGGATAAGAAAATGGAAGAAAACATACACATTATACCTTTTTTCCCCACAATGCTTAGATGTGCCAGTACTGGCAACTAGGGCTGCATCTAACAAGCAGGCCAACTAATCGAATGTCCAACTAATTGATAATGAAAATCATTGAAAACTATTTGCATTATCAATTCTTATGAGCTTAGTCGATTAATTGTTTCAGCCCTACTGGCAACTGCTTTTCTTAATTAGGGAGAGTTAAATCACAGGGTGCTAAATGTCAGGGCAGTCCAACTTCTGCTGTATTTGAAAGACTGCAACATTGCATCCCTGCCATTCCCTGCTTGTTTGCTTTTATTACAATATGTAAAACTGTAGAGAAGAAAATAAGCTCAAAAGTGTAGTTGTTGCCAAAAGCAACCTATATGGTTTTATTTGTCATTTGATGAAAAAATGAAAGAGGAATTCTGACAGGCCGCTATTTGACAGTTTTGTGCTCCCCTTCTAGATTTAATATATTAACCCCATGATGTCCAAAAGAAATATCTCGCATGAGAGTAAAAGTTATTGAGACTAAAGTGTATGTCTGGGCAGAACTCAAAAAAATACTTAATACATCTCTGCAATACATGCTTATTTCTCTTTTAGGCCCTGTGTCAACAGGCTTTAGGCTTGTGTTGATGGCATCATTTTGACATCAGCTTGAGATGCTTTTGGGATAATTCAGAATTTATTGACAGGTATTTGCATTTCACCTGCTGTTGACCTCTGGATCTGCATTTGACCTGCTTCAAGGGAGTTTTGCATTCCAATAGACTTGTATGGAAATTATAAACCTGTCTCACGCTACCTGTTGCTTGTTGACAAAAGCCTTCAAAACACTCCCAAGTAAGCAAAAAAAACCTGTAGATGCTGCCAGAAGTCAAGTGAGCTCCTAGCATCCTGTAGTACACTGTCTCGGCTCCCCTGAAAATCCCAGCGTTGTCATTTGGGCCTGATTTCTTCCCCTGCTGCACTACAGAACATCTCACCCTTATGTCATAAAGATGAGGAGAAGGGGAGGTGGTGTTGTTAAAGTGAACGTAGTCTTGTTTTAGCATTGCTTGGACACATTTAAATAGGAACAGTTCCAAAGTGTTCATTCAGGAAAACAACAATTAATAAATAAGAGAACTCCTAACTTGCAATGGGATCTCTCTGTGGCTGCTGCAGCAATGTGGCCTTCTGGATGCTTCATAAAGTAAAATAAAATACAAAATCACTTCATCAAGGCAAGTGAAAATCTTTTCTGTAACAGACCCAGCACACCGTGCATTTTTCTCATTTTCATTTCGGTATCAGTATTATTAAAATCAATTCCCAATTAATTAATTTATAATCAACTTTCCATACAACAGCTTTCATAAAATAACTGCTCACAAACACCAGTGCTGCAGATACATCCTGTACTTCTAGCACATTAAACAACGGTTCCCTGTAATCGCTGAACTTGACAACTTGTTTTGTGGCCAGGGCCAAGGATTGAAGTAGATGAAAAGGAGGTGCTACAATGTTATTTTTAGGAATGACGAACCTAAATCACCACATCCATAGTTGTAGTTGTTCCTGACCAGTCTTTCCCATGAGTTTTCAACCTCTTGTTACAATTCCCTCATGCAACAGGAAATAGGTGGAGAGGAACAAGCAAATAGTCCGTGTGCATCAGTTGTACACATAGTGGATTGTGATTTTGGCAGATTTTTGTTGCGAAGCGATAGAGCACCCACTTGGCTTACCTTTACGTCAGATTTATTTTCTGTTTTTATTACTGAGGAATATATTATGCATCTTAAGTGAGCTTGCCATGTCCTGGGATTGTGGATTTAAGTATTTATTTGCTCTCTCTCCTGCTCTGAAGGCTGGGGTCATGTGCAAACTACAAGGGAGAGAAGACTTCAAACGCATAGATTTTGTACAGAAGTTGTCCAGGGACAATCAGATCATGCCGCCGACAGCAAAGCCACCTGACAAGAAAGCACACGTAAGTCTTTATACCTTGTCTACTTCTTAAAGGGTCAATCCACCCTAAACTGATATTTCTATCAAATACAAATGCTAGTGGGCTGAATGCCTCTGTAAGATATCAAATGCCTCATAGTCAACAGCTGTGTGATCCCTTCATTGGCTTTGTCTACTTACTGTTACCATTATAAAGCAAGGGAGATGTCACTTCTACTACTGTGTGGTGTGTAGTTTAAAATAAATAACAAAAACAGAATGACAAGTGAGACAGATGCAGTGGTTTCAGTCGATTTGTGATGGCGGGAACTCAAATGCACAGATGTTGGTGTCAGTAAAGTCAAGTTGACAAAAAGTCTCCAATGACCTGTTGCTGGTGGAGACCCCTTAAATGCATCTAGTATCGCTCATGTTAAGGCATCATAAACCTTTTTGTATAGGTGCTTGCATATGTATGCCAAAACTAAAAGGCATCAGAAAAAATAATCTAATTTTGGAAAATAGGAAAAATATATTTTTTTGTGTGTTTCTCAAATACACGGCATTATTTTTACAAGTCCTGTGAAAACGTAGATACTGGTAATCAAATTCACTTTTGTGCTTTAGCAAATTCACGATTTATCGTATTTTATGTTGCCGTTAATGATCAGGGTGCATGAGCATAAATTGTACAGCGACTGTCTCAGCTAAACAAGACTTAGGAAATTGATTGAAGTGTTGTGCTTGGTTTTATTGGTTGGAAGGTTGAATTCTTCTCTTGCTTACTTGCGTTATCTAACCCCAGGGTGTAACAAATGTATTATTGCTTTTAAATGTAAATTATTTATCATAGAAAAACTTGCATTTGTGCAGGGATCATACAGTCTTTAATTATATGGAATGGATAACGCCTGCTGGGGTTAGTATATTTAATAGAGAAAATAAAAGATACTGGCTGGATATAGATGATGTTTGTAAATAGCAAAGCACAAATATTTGCTAGGTGTCGAACCTTTGCAGCGCTTTTGTTTAAAGAAGTCTTATATGTAATTTTAGGTATGCAGATAAATGTAAATGATCTTATCATAGTACAGTGTGATCATGTTTTTAAAACCTAGTTTTATGTTTATTAACCTCTTGCCGTCCGCCCGTTAAGAAAAAACGGACGGACGGCATACTCGCATCCGCGGGTTGCCGTCGCGAGACGGCATTTTTTCCCTGCTCGCGCACGGGCAGGAAAGACCCGCTCGTTACTACAGCCGTTAACGGCTGTTTCACATACAACCGATCAGCGGCTCTATAGCCACCGATCGGTTGTATGGCGTGAAATGGCCAATTTTGGGTAATGTCGTTTTTTTGAGGTGACCCCGTCTTTTATATTTTACCAAAAAATTTGTTAAATAATAAATGTTTTAGAATTTAATATAGGGGGAACTGTTTTTTTTTAAATCTGTAGTTTTTCCTTAATATATTAAAAAATAAAAACCCCAGTGGTGAATAAATACCACCAAAAGAAAGCTCTATCTGTCCCCAAAAAAGGGTATAAAATTCATTTCAGTACAGCGTTGCATGACGGAATAAATGTCAGTCAAAGTACCGCAGCGCTGAATACTGAAAAATGGCCTGGATGGGAAGGGGGTTTAACACCCCGGATGTCAACTGGTTAAAGTGAACCTTTCTATTCTGCAAGCTTGTAGGCTTAGCCTGCATTCACACCTAAGCGTCGGCATTTTACGCACGTTATTGCCAAGTGTATTTTGCTTGTTTTAAAAACATTTTTATGCGTGTTAGACACACGCACATTAAGACGTGCATCTTGGCTGGCAGATCAAAGACATTGCAGTTAATGGGGAAACGTGTGTAAAAACGCACGCAAAATATGTTTTGCACGTTTTCCAGGCTTTTCAATTGAAGTCTATGGGACCAAACATGCACACAAACGCCCCAAAGAAGCTCAGGAACTTTTTTGAGCGACAGGTGTTTTGCAACTTGCGACAAAATGCCTAGGTGTGAATAGGACCTAAATGGTACCTTCCATTCTATCCGCTGATTTAAGCTTCTTCTTTTCATAAAACCTGCAGCCTTTGCAGCCTATATAGCACTGTTATTGTTATGCAGCTGTTGACTTTTTATCAAAAGTCAGCAGCTAAGCTGTCATCACTATCTCTAACTATGCCCCCAAGCTCTGACAAAACAAGAAAGCAGTGATCCATGACTAGTGCAATGAATAATAGTGTGGCTTGACAATAGTGTGTAAGAGTCAAGATGGCAGTGCGCAATAAGGAAATAATAGGCTCTTGGAACATAATTTTTCACTTATTTTACACTAATGAGTTCCTCATAAGCTGAATAGTTCTCATTTAGTGGTAGTTTATGTACACCTTTGAAAAGAAAGGGTAGCTTTAATTATATATGTGCTCTGGGGCAGACATATGCTTGATACATAGGCATGCCTTGTTTTGGTCTCGCTTATCACTGAAAAGGCCTGATTGAAAACACTTGACTATGTGTAGTCTCTAATGAGGTCAAACATTCTCAGTATACCTGAAAGCTAATTAGCCATGCTTGCCTAAGCTATACGTGGCATGTTGAAACTAAGAGCAGCTTTTTTTATTCATGGCATGAAAAAGGTGCTTTTTCTTACTTTGTCTGTTTAAGGGAACAATCCATGTCAGCCCACCTACATCAACTTGGAAAACTGATGTGTAAAATGAAT